CAGAGTGAGATACCCTTGTCAAACTAACAAAAACAGTGTCATTGTTGTGACTCCGACCCCCGAGCCCGTCTTATCGGAGGGAGAAGGCTCCGAAAGTGAAGGAGAGGAGTTGGCCAGGCCTCCCTCTCCAGGACCCTCCTCTCTGGCAATGCCTCAGGTGTCTCCCGAAGGAGAAGAGATTGACCAGGAGTCAGGTATCGCCGAGCAGTCGCAGTTGGACAGTGACAGAGATAAGTCTTGGCTGGATCAATGCCAGCGTCGGAGAGACAAGCGCACGCAGCAGAAAAGGAGGCATGCCAGAGATTAAGCTGAGTCACTGGCCACACCCCACAGGGGATAAAAGGGGGTGTGGTGGCCATTCAGGCGCTGTGACGGACAAAACTAAACAACTAGCAAGTCGCATTGTATCTCTGAAACTACATTATCTGCCTGCCTTGGATTTAATACGGACTGGACTTGACAATTTTGTGGCTTTGTGTATTTGTTTTGGTTCTCTGTGAGTAAAGTTCTTGGCAAGCAGCTACTGGTTGCTGCCAATCCTGTTATTGAAGGAATTTATTGTCTGCAAGTTTTATTTAACTCCTGGCTGACTGTTTGTGTGGGTGTGTGAGACGGGGACAGAACAGTCATGCCATTGCCACACATAGAGATATCATGACATATTTACCAAAGAGACATAACTTGTGTCAAGTTTTCGTGGTTGCCTCCTCCTGACACTTTCTCGAAGTTTCGGACTACCATACCTGGGATGCAAAAATCTAGCTGATCCTTAAATTATAGCAAAGAGCTATTATTTCAAGTATCTCTCTGCTATCTACCAATTATCAAAATGTTGGGGGGCCTTTTGTAAGCTGCTTTCTTCTTTTTTCTATTCCTGTGAGTACAGTTGTGAAAATAAGTGCATATGAAATTATATATTTGCTTACTGAACATTCTTCAACAGGCTACATACACCCTTCTATTGTCGTTTGCAAGAAATTAAAATGACGGTAGAACAATATAAAACAATTTTTGGACAAGAAAATTACAACACTACAACATAAAAAAGAAAAATAGCTTTCAGTAGACTAAGAAGCAAACACCAATGACATGCCAAATAAACTTGGGAGTAATCCAGAGGTTTTGAGATCAGTTATTGTTTTTGTTTTTCTTTCTTGGAATATACCACAGTTAAGACAACCCAGGTCTGTTTAATGTTACTAAGCAATGAATTCCACCTTTGGGTTGAAGAAATAACTGACCAGCCTTTGAGAACTCTGAAAAAGCCACTGCTCATTTTGTGTGATTGTATGTAGCTTATAGTTATTTGTCCAAGGGCTATTATACTCTGGCTATTATACACTATTTCAAATAGTACTGCAACATTCTGTTCTGGCTTTGCAATAAACATCTGGCCTGATGTGCTTTAATAGCACTACTAAAGCGCTCCATGGCTTAGGCCCCGGGTACTTACGAGACTGCCTTCTGCCACCGATAGCCTCCCATCGACCAGTACGCTCCCACAGAGAGGGACTCCTCAGGGTGCTGTCGGTCAAACAATGTCGATTGGCGACCCCCAGGGGAGAGCCTTCTCTGTAGGGGCACCTGCCCTCTGAAATGAGCTGCCCCTGGAGATTCGTAGGATCCCCGACCTTCGCACCTTTCGCCGCGCCCTCAAAACGCTATTGTTTCACCAAGCAGGGCTGGCCTAAATGCTATTTTAATGGGTGGTTTCTATTTTAGCTCTTTCGGCCAAATTATTTAATATTTTTAAATTGCCTTTTAACTTTCATATAGTTGTGGGTTTTATTTTTGGCTGTACACCGCCCTGAGTCCTTTGGGAGAAGGGCGGTATAAAAATTTAATAAAATAAATAAATAAATAAATAATACCACTAATTCTGTATTACCACCAGAGATGCTATTCAGCAGGTTCTGACAGGTTCTGGAGAACCAGTAGCGGAAATTTTGAGTAGTTCAGAGAACTGGCAAATACTACCTCTGGCTGGCCCCAGAGTGGGGTGGGAATGGAGATTTTGCAATATCCTTCCCCCAGGAGTGGGGAGGGAATGGAGATTTTGCAGTATCCTTCCCCTGCCATGCCCACCAAGCTACACCACACCCATCAAGTCACACCCACAGAACCGGTAGTAAAAAAAAATTGAATTCCACCACTGATTACTACCAATTATAATTTTATAGTTAGTATTGAATGAACACAAAGAAATTGTATTAGGTGAGAATCTGAATTTACAGATGATACTTTCTGTGCACCACATCAAGCAGGAGGAGGAAGGACGATGGGATATGGAGTTGCTTTGATCTGGAAGTAAAATATTCTATTATCTTTTCCATAGTTTCAATTCCCTGTACATCTCCCTCCCTCCGCAATATCCGAGATGATTCAATGAACATTCACAGAGAATTACTAAAAAGGCAAAAATGTTAAGCAACTCCCACAGACTCCAAGCACATTTTAATACCACAGATCTGCCTGAAATGAAAAGCAAGAGAGTTAACTGTGTTGAAATTGTTCAGTCTCATGAATTCATTTCTAGTGAAGTCATAATTAACTGTCTGCATGCCTGGAACTGCCTGGTTAAGATTTCCTTGCAGCTCTCATTGTCAAAAAGACCAGAAATGCACTTATTAGAATGCCCTATGCAGTGCCCGTTAGAAATTGTAATATTCATAAGATGGTACACTACTTTTGTCAGTTTTGATTAGAAACAACACTTCTTTTAGAGCTAAAGATGTAATGACAAGTGTCAAAATACATTTTTCATCTTGCTGCATATTTAAATATCAGTTGAACTGGATCTATGCAGACAGCCAGGGGAACAAAACCCCCACAGTCCTGCTCTAATAGAATAAGGACAGATATAATTGTCATTATAATATCCTTGACTGCTGTCTGGCAGTCCTGAAAGCCCAATAATATGATTTGTATGATCTGTGATTTTTTGACTGAAGAAACATTTGCTCTGTCACAGCTTGCCAAGGATCTTAATGTTGCATTTTGGTTTCTAAGGAATATTGTAGGCAGCGGTGGGTTCTACTTACCTTTACTACCGATTCGCATCGTGCCCATGTGCTTCTGCGCATGCGCAGATCACTTATGATGACGTCTGTGTCAGTGGAGGGAGCCTCCCACCGGTTTTACTACCGGTTCTATAGAACTGGTCCGAACCGGGGGAAACCCACCACTGATTGTAGGTGATAAAGCTACAATAATAGGTAGCAGCTAGGAAGTTAACAAGATACTGAAGTTTTCTGAAACTAGGGTGAAAAAAGCAACACTGTGGAAACTAATCCAAGGAAAATCTCTCTAGTGATTATGTAAAATGTAGGCTCTGGATTTCAGTCTATGTGCTTCAATCTTCTATTTTATACTAAATGAATACCATTTTGACTAGATGTTGAAAGATTATCTGGAGCTAAAATTCAGTAGTGTATTTGTTTGGGTTCAATAGGATTATCATTCTCTTTACATAAAATTAATAAAGCCAAAGAGTTTGGGGAGGGGCATTTTATGCTTGCAAATGAAATCAACCCATCCTAAGATTTTGCAGCATATTTTTTGGGGAGACGCTTCTTCCTGTAATCAAACTAATCTAATCTTCCAGAAATCCTAATTAATTTTAACATGCATTTCAGCAATACAAACCTTTTGTAATTTATAAGTAGTGACCTTTTCCAGATTTTATGTCCTATTTGTCATTCCTTTCGTATCATCTGGAGTTGGCACTGAACTACTATATATATATATATATATATATATATATATATATATATATATATATTATATATATATATAATATATATATATATATATATATATATATATATATAATATATATATATATATATATATGCGTGTAGAGATAATAAGGAATAATAATTAAGAAGATACTGATATATTGGAATTCATAACCATAACCAAATGCACAACATATGCATCTTATTCTGTATAAATTCATTCTGTCTTTCAGAAACAAAGAACTTTCAGGAAATACAGAATTATCTGGAAAAAGTAATCTGAGGACAAGTATAAACTGCTGGAGGGACAGGTATTGTTTATGCAGGCCTAGACTTGATCCATGCGAAGCCTCCTAACATGAAAGAAAGTCTGAAATGCTGAGGGATGCAGGTGTTTGTGAGCTCAGGTGCTACATATTTAAACAATAGTTCACCTTAGTCATAGAGCTTGCTTGATATAGATCAGGAGTGTCAAACTTGATTTTATTGAGGCAGCATCAGGGTTGTGTTTGACCTCAGGAGGCTAGGGTGTGTCTGTGGCCAAGGGGGTGGTGGCCGGGTGGTGGTGGTTAGGGGCGTGGCTAAGTCAACATCACTCAGTGAGTGTCCATTTTCAGCTGTGATGGCCTCCTACAGACCTCTGCTAGCAAAAACGGAGCCCAGGGAGGGCAGCATGTGGCCCACCCAGGCTCTGTTTTTGCTGGCAGAAGGCTGCAGGAGGCCATTGTGGCTGAAAACAGAGCCCGGGCAGGCCATGTGCAGCCCTCCTGAGCTCTGTTTTCACTGGCAGAGGCACCACGAGCTGGTCCTTTGCTGTTTCCAGGGCGGCCCTGGGGGCCAGAACTTAGCACGCCGCAGGCCGGAACTGGCCCACGGCCTTGAATTTGACACTCCTGATGTTGAAAAAAGTAGAATGAATTAAGGCAAATATCCGTGTCCTAGGATACTGTTGCAGGATCCAATCTGGGTCGGTCACCAGGACCAGAGGTTTAGTCTTTCAAGCTTTGTGACTCATATTGGAGACCATTTTCAGGGAACTTCTCTCTATCAGAGTGTGTGCTTCGGGCTATTCTGTGTGTGGTATTATATGGTGCCTGTTGCACCATATAATTGTTGATGGCTGGCTATTAAGTCATTGGCTGTTGTTTCCTTGTGCTGCCAAGCCCTCACCTCCTAAATTCTTGATAAGCTGGTGGTAAATCAGCACACTTGTTGACTGATGAGGGGCCCATTTCTCAGGCTTCAATCACTTCCCTGGCTGTTTTTGTGCCTGCTCATCCAACAATCTTAGTAGCTGACCCGGATTGGATCCTGAAAAAAGTGGAATATGAATGTAACAAAGAAACAACAATATAATTAGCCATTATAAGCCGTGATGACTACTAATTTGAATGGTTTTTAATGAGATTAGATAAAATCATGCCTTGTGATGTTTCAATAGCTACAATCTTTAATAGCTGCATATTATTTCCTGTATCAAAGGCAGCATATTTTAATTTCACAGTGCTAGAGAATGACAATAGAAAATGACTATCATCTTAAACTTATAGTTACCCTTTGTTCTCTAGGGAGCCTATTGCTACTGATTTGTTTTATTTATCTATTTTTGGATTCAAGCATTATTTGATACTATAGCTTCTTATTCATCTGTATATGGATCTTATTGCCTCTAAATATGATACAAATGACTTGATTTCTATGTTGTTAACTTCTATTTGTTCAACAACCTATCTATTCCTAAGCCAATAGTTCTCAGCATGGACCATTTAGCTAGTGAGGGGGCTATGACATATTTTTTTGGGTTAGCTTATACTGCTGCTATGTCTTTAAAAATTCTGTTTGCCATTACACAATTGTATCTAGTATAGGATTGTTTTTGTTAGCTGATTTAGAAACTTTGTTTTAATCTTTGTGTGCCTTCCAGTCTGTTTTTTGACTCCTGGAAACTGCTGGAACTAGTTTTCTTGGTAATGTCTTTCAGAAGTAGTTTTCCATTGCCTACTTTCTAAGGCTGAGAGAGAATGAATGGCCTATGGCCGTGATGGCAAACCTATGGCACACGTGCCAGAGGTGGCATGCAGAGACCTCTCTGTTGGTATGCGCGTTGTCGTCCCAGGTCAGATCTCCATGGCATTTCTTTCGTGAACTTCTGTTTCCCTGCAAACAATGAAACAGAAGCTCAGAAAAGAAAAAGATCTTATCTCTTGCTGTGCTGCCTCCCACCGGCCCTCTGGTCTTTGCGTCTCTGCTGCACATGTGCGCATGTCCACATGTCTGTGCACATGCACTTTTGTGCTCATGCATGCACTTTTCAGTTTGGGCATGCACGCACAGTTTGGGCACTCAGTGTCTATTACTGGTCTATGGCTAGATTTAGGCCTAAGGCAGAAGTAAAACTTGTGGTCTTCCAGGTTTTTAGCCTTGTGCTTTAACCACTGCACCAAACTGTTTCCCCTTTATAATATAAATACACTTTAGATTATAATCTACAACAGTGCAGATGGTAAAATTTCTCCATTATTTTTACCTCTCATTTACAAAGGAAAATGAGGCTCAGAAGGGGCAATGGCTAGGAAAAAAAGGTTGAGAATCCCTGTTTTAAACATATATAGTCTCACAGGTAGCTGTTTTACAATGAGCCTGACAAATTTACTACCAGCACAGTATTGTGTATATCGACAGCAAGACTGACAAGGTTAGAATTAAAGTATGATTCAAAGCATAGACCAGGAAACTGAAAGCTTTTCCTCTGGTATTTATAAAGGTAGCTTTTTAAAACAAAATACACACTCGCAGAGTGTTAACTTATAATATCCAACTTATTTATCCATAATATATTTATAAGTGATAATGCGATATCTATAAGTTACAGGACTTAACGAAGTTACAAAAGCTTCTTTTATCCTGTGTGCTTAGCAATTTTCTTAGCAATCAAAGTAATGGCAACACAATTCTTTCTCTAACCCTTTAAAACTTAACAACTTAGAACTAAGGAGAAATTTCCTGACAGAACAATTCATCAGCGGAACAACTTGCCTCCAGAAGTTGTGAATGCTCCAACACTGGAAGTTTACAAGAAGATTTCCTGCTTAGGCAGGAAAGACCTCCAAGGTCCCTTCCAACTCTGTTATTCTAATTCTAATTCAAACTGGGAATTATTTCCCTTTCCCCCGGGTCTTAACGTTTTAACTTACATTTAACTGTACATTTTCCTCCACCCTCGGAGGAAAAGAGGCCATCTGAGATATTTCTAATTATGGATCTAGTGCCCTTTTGAAACCATGCTAAACCCATGTATAAATATAGTATTGCTTCCCCTTGCATCCTTCCTCTGGGCCTCGACCTGCCAGATGATTTTGCATACAGATGTAACGTTCTTTGGAAAGAGTGCTGGATCTATTTTCATAAACAGCTGCAGGTCACATATATAGTTAAAGGATTATAGGAAGTGTCTAGATACCTCTTTAGCTTCTTATATTCCTTCTTATCATGGAACTGTCAAGGGTACTAAGAGGAATAGAGGAAGGACAGAAAGTACAGGATGGGAAATGATGAATAATATACAAACTCTGTCTCTGATTGGTGCTGCAAGGAAATAACAGTACTCATAGTGAGTGGCTGTGACTGGCAGCACATAAAAATCAAAATGTAAATATAGGAAAATTGATATTCCTCCCACAAAATATTAAAAGTAATAAAAATATGGCCCTGTAAAACTTCTTTTTGGCACAATACCATTGCAATACCAAACCTAAAATCAATGTATTGGTAACAGAACCAGCAAAACATAGCTTACAGAATTGAACTTCGAATAATCGAGTTGGGAGGGACCTTGGAGGTCTTCTATTCCAACCCCCTGTTCGAATAGGAGGCCCTATGCCATTTCAGACAAATGGTTGTCCAGTCTCTATTTGAAAGCATCCAGTAATGGAGCACCCACAACTTCTTTTCTTTTATGTAAACTGAGAGCATATGCACCAAGACAAATTCCTTGTGTGTCCAATCACACTTGGCCAATAAAAAATTCTGTTCTGTTCTGTTCTGTTCTGTTCTGTTCTGTTCTATTCTATTCTATTCTATTCTATTCTATTCTATTCTATTCTATTCTATTCTATTCTATTCTATTCTATTCTATTCTATTCCGAAGGGAAGCTTCAGAATAGATTAAGTGTTCTAACTGTCATGAAATTTCTTCTTAGTTCTAGGTTGCTTTTCTCCATGATTGGTTTCCATTCATTGTTTCTTGTCCTGTCTTCAGGTGCTTTGGAGAATAGATTGACTCCTTTTTTGTAGGAGCCCCTCACATATTGGAACAGTGCTATCATGTCATCCCTACTCCTTCTTTTCATTAGACTAGACATACCCAATTCCTATAATCATCCTTTGTATGTTTTAGCCGTAAATGTTTTAGTAATCATTTTTGTCGCTCTTCTCTGGACTCTTTCCAGAATCTCAACATCATAACAAATTCTAACACTATTTCAAAACACACTCAACTATGTTGATGAATGTTCAAAACAATGCAAAATCTATGTATATGTGAAGCTCACATAAAGCCTGACACTTTGGAAAGCACCAGACATAATGCAAATAGATGTCTCTGTTGAAGCTATGTATTGAGTCTTTCCTGCAGCCTAGTCCACAATGGCTATAGAGGATTAATACCTATAAGAAGAGACATACTGTAGTAACCCCCAATCAGATGTGATAGTGTGTGCCTACAATAACCAAAAGAAGTTTGACATATCTTGGCATCATCAGTTACATCTTGGAGGAAGTAGGCTAAATCATATACAAAGAAGAAATAATTGCAAGAAGATGAAAACATTATTTTAAACCGGGAAGAGCTAAAGATGTCTGTATGCTACCTCCCTGACAGCTAGAATCAAGACCAGACAATATTTGAGGATTTGTCAAATAAAAACTAATACTGGAACAAGTTCATGTTGCTGTAAGAAGGATTTTTAGTTTGCTCATGGTCACAGTCAAAAATTAACATACATACCAAAAAGCCAGTATCCTAGCTAGAAACATGATCATATGCAGAAACACAAAACTATGTTTCATATGCACAAGTAGTCTTACAAACAAGAATGGAATACTTATTTTTCCATTATTATGTATTTTTATCCGCATTATGAGACTCTTGCTGCCTTACTAAGTCCTGGCTAACATATACTTCCTACAATAATGCCATTTTGTGTGCCATTAGAAAATAAAACTACAAAATTAGCTTTGAAAAGCTCATTGGGGATGAGATAAGGAAGATAAAGCATTAAAGTTGTTTCTTGAAGCAGGAAGAGGAAGAAAAAATCCAGAGAGAGAAGGAAAATGCAAACTGAAGTTGACCCGAGACTGTAGATGTTAAGATGATAACTAAACATCTGAGTTGTTAATATATCCAGCAATTGATGTTCTTTTTGCATCAAGTTAGTTGCTTCATCCACCTGGGATTCCAAGATCTATACCATTTGCTTATTCTTCAGGATAACAATGGAAAATGTGTGACTTTTTAATCTAGACGTTGCTAAAGTACAGTTCCCAGCATTGTATATTATGACTGGTACTACTGGGACTTGTCATTCACCAACATCTGGAAATCCATAAATTCCTCACATTTTTGAGATAGTAAGAAAGTACATTTTCCATAATCTCATGTATCAATCTCAGTTGATTCCCCAAATAACAGGGCCTCTTCTGGAAGATTGGGTGAAAAGGTTTCAAAAAATGTAAAGAAATACAATTAAGCTCATAGAAGGAAAGGGAACTACTGAGCTTGAGCCTTTGATTATATTTGCATAATTAAATATTTGGATCGTACGGCCTCTGTTCATTTCTGTGCCTCTCTTGTGTGGCATTACATGTATATAAAGCTGTTATATAAGCACTTTTCAGATCAGCTAGGAGTGGGTGGCAAGATGAATTTATCATTCCTTTGGAAAAAAATCTGTCAACATGGATTTAGCTCTAATTTATGGCAATATTGGGAGTTCAGTTGAAGCTTCTAGTGGCTTCTGAAATATCTAATGATTATTATGTTGTTAGATGAGAGAACAAAGTTGCTGGGAGTGCATGAATCATTTATGTCTGTGCCATGCAGAAAAAAAAAGGAAAGAAATGAAAATGCATTTATGTGATAAGAATGAGTTATAAATTTTGTTTAAATTATGCAATCTCAATTTTGGCAATTTGACTGGTTTTTATTACTGTACTTCTCTCCCAGAAGAAACTAGTAACAAACATTTTCCCCTCCCAATATTAGTGTTTTATTCATTATTTTGAATCTCTCACCAAACAATTTTTGAGAAAAA